TGTCTGTGTGGGTGTCACTCCAGTGTCTGTCTGGGTGCCACTCCAGTGTCTGTCTGAGTGTCACTCCAGTATCTGTGTGGGTGTCACTCCAGTGTCTGTCTGGGTGTCACTCCAGTGTCTGTCTGGGTGTCACTCCAGTGTCTGTGTGGGTGTCACTCCAGTGTCTGTCTGAGTGTCACTCCAGTGTCTGTCTGGGTGTCACTACAGTGTCTGTCTGAGTGTCACTCCAGTGTCTGTCTGGGTGCCACACGTGACCCACCCATTGTGACCTCCTCCTGTTTCATGTCCTATTCCGAACATCCAAGTTTTTCTCCTTACAATGCCATGAAATTGCTGGCAAAATAGATGTTGTTTGTTTGTTAGTCAGTTGCTTTGGTAGAAGTCCACCCACCTCTCTGACTTGTACGGCGACGCAGACATTCGCTCCCAAGAGAGACGCCTGCCTCTGATTCGGCTCTCGCCTGCGTAATCAACGCCAGCCAATCGCGTTCCAGAATGACGCCTTCTCGGCGGCTCTGGCAAACAGGTGACGAGGTTTGTGATATTCGGAGTTGGCATTTAAGAACTTGGCTCGTTATCTTCACTTCCTGCGTTTACAAACCCCCAAGCGGTGGTAGGTATATGCATGCCTGTCCACCCATACGGTCTACCCGTGTTCTTGTGCAGGGGATTTGGGTTTCCAGGTCCACACGGCGTACAGCCCTTTAAAAACGGGCAATTTTGATTTGTTTTTTGCTTATTTTCTGGTGTTTTCCCCTTGTGATGGGACTTTGTAGGATGGACGTTGAGATGTATAAGGTCTGTAATAAGGTAGGCACTGATAAGGGATTGACAGGTATGAATATGCATCATTCGCCACAATCGCCAGCGGCCTCATCCCTCCGTAGGTTTTCATCGCTTTAACTCGACCAGCGTCGGCTGAGCCAAAGCCATCTCGGCCGCTATTGTACGTACGACTGTTGAACTTCTTTCGCACCGTACCAATCGGAGGTGCGGGGGAAGGACAACAAACTAACCACGCAATAAGCAGTTCTAAAGACATGAGTTTTCAATCTGGAGTATTTAAAAGTGCACAGCTCCAGTGCCTTCCTGATATCGGAAGGGAGAGCGTTCCAGACGGTCGTAGAAGCGCATGTGAAAAAGCACGCGATGCGGTGAAGGCACGCGGTGCTGAATATTTACACAGAGGGTGTTAGAGAACACCCCCATCTCATTTCCCCCCAAAAATTTACGAAATCAAATGTCTTTGCAAAATGTTATCGATTGCTTTATTGCATTCATTATTCTAGAGGACATCATTTGTTTTTATATCATGATGATTGTGATGAAGAGCAGGCACCGGTAAAATCCGATTGAATCTGATGCCACCAGATTTACCTCTGCGATGTGGTGGAGTGCCACTGCTTCACCAGCCCCCCCCCGCACCCCATGCCTGCGGTTGCTCTCCCTAGGAACAAGCGAGGCGCGTCGAGCTAGAGACCCCCCCCCCCCCGCCCTCCCCCAACAACAATTACCAAAGGGCGGCCAGGGTAGTGGTGGTGGTAGTGGTGGTGGTAGTGGTGGTGGTGGTAGTGCTGGGGAGCGGTAGTGGTGGTGGTAGTGGTGGTGGTGGTAGTGGTGGTAGTGGTGGTGGTGGTAGTGGTGGTGGTAGTGGTGGTGGTGGTAGTGGTGGTGGTAGTGGTGGTGGTGGTAGTGGTGGTGGTAGTGGTGGTGGTGGTAGTGGTGGTGGTGGTAGTGCTGGGGAGCGGTAGTGTAGTGGCTAGCGCGCTGCGCTACGAACCCGGAGACCCGAGGTCGATTCCCGCTCACGGCCAACACCGGTGACGATTACCTGAACCGGTCCTGGGCCTCCCCTAGGAAGGTCGACTCAGTACCTGGTGCAGTATGTAAATATTTCCACCAGGAAAACAAAGGCGCCCGGGCGTGGTGCTGGCCACCCACCCCCTCGTGTGCCATTCTGGCCTTCATAGGTGCTCGCTAACAGCACTTGCCCCAACAGTCTGTTATGGCTACACGGGGGATCTTTGTCTTGTTTGTTCTAAATGCATTTCATTAAAATCACAGTGCCCTCTGTTTTCTTACTCGGGCAGTGACTGCGAAATGCAAACTCAAAACATATTTTACTCGCATCGAGTAAACATAGGAAAGGTAAATTAATGCATTAAAATCCATAAATGAAGTATTTTTTGTGTTAGATCGTGTAAATATAAATGTGTTGTTAGACCTGCCACCACCCGACACAGCCAATTAGTGAGGTTCGTCACGTAGACAAAACGTGCCGATTCCTTATTCGTGTCGAGGAGCAGTGTGGGCAACCATGAGGGGGCGAACAGAGGGAGGTGCCAGCGAGTTGACAGTCAAGGATGACGTCATTTCACGGGTGGTGTATGACGTACCTTCGGGAACAAAGGCGGGTCCGAACCAGGGGGAGGAGCCGCCAAAGGGGGACTTAAGGGAGCTACCCCGGGACGAAGGCGTGGTCGTTGTGGGAAGCCAGGGCAAGGGTCGCCTGCAAGGGGTCTCTCCCTCCTCGTCACCGGGCGGTGTTGGATGAACCCCCGCTCCGGGTAGACGAGTGGGAGAGCTAAGGGAATAGCCGAGAGTAAGGTCCCGAGTATGGAGTAAGGATCGGCTGAGAGAGGGTTCACGAGTGAGAGAGCCCTAAAGGACCAGCTACTGGGGAGAGTCCGGGGTCAAGGACCCAGATAGAGAGCACCGACCTCTGGTGTGAGTTAGAGAGTTGAGTGCAACAGAGTTCAATAAACGGCAACAGCCCTGATAACATTCCTCGTCTGCGCGTGCTTCTACTGCACAACACGAGTACAGCACACCAATGTGTGCTGGAGAGTAAACGAGGACCGTGACGTTTCGCCAGTAATTACAACAACCAGCATCATCAGGCGGACAGCCAGAATTGTGGGATAAATCCTCCCCCCGTCTCGGTCTTAAATAGAGGGGGGATAAATGTGACGTCGTCACCCGTGAGCCAATCAGGTGCCAAGGCCAGACAGACGGGTGGGGGGTCAATGAATGCACACGAATAACAACGGATATCCACTACCGGGTCGGTTATTCATCTTCATTCGCCTGCCCGCCTTCGACGTCAGGTGGGAATTCCTCGCATCCCCCACTGCGAGCCGACCATCGCTTTTCGGTGGTTGCCATGGGCTCTCCGCGACGCCTTGGGTCGATCAAAGGGGGAGCGGCGTTAAGGGCGTTGCTTTAGTTCTGATTCGATGGCAAACTTTCGCTCGCGATACCAACGTTCACTCGCGACCGAAGGCTCACGCGTCCTGTATTCTTGGCTTCATCGCAACAACCTTGCAGGTTTGCCTTCAAGAAATGTTGATGCGCGGACACACCGCACGTCCTCAACTAAACCCAGGGGGACATGCGGTCCCCACCAGACGCCTTTCACCAATATCTACGGGACCTTTTTTTTGGCAGTATCAAAGTGTGAAAAATCATTTGTTCACCACTGGCTCAGGGACCACCAACAGGGATGAGGACTGCCCAAAAGCAAATCCTATAAAGACATCAAACGAACACAGGACACGCTGGGTCACCAGATGGCAGGAGGCTAAAAGGCGACTTGTGTGGCCTGTTGGAGCAAATGAGTTGGTTTTGGATCTGGGCTTTGGCTACTGCTGGCGAAATCGGGTTAAGTCGAGCGAATTGATGGTCCCCAGCCTTAATGAATGCACGCACTGCGTGTCAATACACGAGGTTATGCTGCAGTTCTGAGCAGCACCGCCCTATACGGGGAAGACTGAAAGGCCTGCGCGTCGTCTCGAGTGGACAACAGAGACCCGTACACGCTACCTCTCTCAGCAGTGGTTCTGCAATGTCACCTTCCGTGGGCTATTTCTTCTAACTGGTGGGGTCACAATGCACCATCAAGAGCTGCGTCTCGTGCCGCGACACTCGTGCGGATAATACATTTGTAGTATTTGTATACTCTATTGTGCACGCCTCTGGGTTTTTGTTGCATTGTTTGTTGATGTAACTTGCCCATCCCGTGCCCCTATTGGACATCTGTGAAAAAGCTTCATAGCTCATCGGATTCCTCCTGCAGTCTACACAAAGAGTCTGCTTCTGATCGTTTTTAATTGGAATTGGGTAAAACACGATGCTACCAAGAACATATGATGCACCAGAAACAGGTTTAACGCTGTGGGCTCACGCGAAATTGATTTTCCAAGACGGAGGTACTCTGCAAACCTACCGGCTACCTTCAGATTTGTTCATGAAGCCATCCAGATATATAAACACAGACACAACTTCAACCGAGATGGGTACAAACTGAGCAATCATTGGAAGGACGTTATTAACCAGGTAAAGTCTTAACTGTGATGTTTCCATCCTACCTGCCTATGTCAGCTGTTATTTCCGACTCTCTGTCTCTCTCTCTCTATGCCTCTCTCTTAGATCTCTCATGCTCACGTCCGTTGCATTGCACTCTCATGCCTTTGGATTGCACTCTTATGCTCACATGTCCTTTGGATTGCACTCTCATGCTCACATGTCCTTTGGATTGCACTCTCATGCTCACATGTACTTTGGATTTCACTCTCATGCTCACGTGTCCTTTAGATTGCACTCTCATGCTCACGTGCCCTTTGGATTGCACTCTCATGGTGCTAATCTCTCATTAACACTGCTGTTGTGTGCATATGCGGGCATGATACTCTTATGTGGTGATGGAAGCTCATTCATACTAATCTTCCTCCCTAATCCCTCTCTCTCTCCCTAATCTCCCCCATTAACACAACTGATGTGCTTGCGTCCGTGGATGCAATTCCTTTCCTGCTCAGACCCCGCTTGCTTGCCCATCGCCACATATATAACCTCCTGTTGTAACAGCTCTCTCGCTGGTTCAGCAGTTCTACTGCTGGATTCTATTTTTTCCGCCCGAGGACGACCGCTTGTGTTGCGATTGAAGCGTTGTGATGTATTTTATTTTATACCTACGTGACTTTACCGAAAGAACCAACGAGTAGTGAAAATAACATCATTCATTTTATTACCGGTCTCGCCAGGTCACCAGCCAGACTTGGGGTGGAAAAAAATGACAAAAATAAAATGTTACATCCATTACAGTTCGGTAAACGACATAAATAAGACTTTAGCTATAAAAAAAATATAAGAACAGAAATTAAAATAACATGTTTCTTTACACACACATTTAACCTTCAGCAATGTGCAACACATTTTAAATATATATATAATCTGATCTCTAAAGCAGCAATATTGTAATGAAAACTATATCATATATTAAACCTTTCAGCACAGTCACGGATACAAAGTGGCGAAGTGTGGTTCAGAACAAAGCACAGAACAAAACACATAACACGTGTATATACATAAGGTATATCATATGAATGTTACGCGATATACATCATACGAAAGCGTATATGGATACGGGACGTATGTTTGTATATGGCATATGACATAGGTATACGTCATATATATATCACACAACATATCCCAAAGTGATGTCCGACAGTCTTAGCCGCCAAGCAGCGTGCAAAAGCAGGCTTCCTCACGGGAGTTTAAACCAGAGTTGAACAACTCGAGACCGTGTTCACCGTCACAGGCTTGCATGTATAAATGTATACGTTCTAATGACTACCTCACGCACAATCTGTGTTGCACATCAAAATATGGGACGACGATTATGCCCGTGAACGAGGTGTTTCGTTCCGCCTTTTAGCGGCGCCGATTTTTGTATTTTTATTTACGTATCTTCATGTTCTGTTTCTCTTCGAATTTTTTGTTTTTATCTTTCGGTATTTTTTTTTGTTGTTGTTTAAACGTTTTAATATTACGGCGAAGTAGATCCCGGGGGCGTCATACGCGACGCGCGTCCCGCTCGCTCGCCCGCCCGCCCGCCCGCCCGCCCGCCGGGCGCCGTTTGAAGCGTCCCTCACAATCGGAACGAAGACGGCAACGGAGCGAGGGCGTCCGCCTACCGACGTTCAGAGCTGCGCGCTCGCACCGCGCTCGCTCCCGCGCTCCCGACGAGGGCAACTCGTCACGAGCGCGGGAAGCCCGTTCGCGACGAGAATTTAAAACGCTGCGGAGGATTTCGCTTCAAGGACGCTCGCTCGCGACCGAGCGCGCCGGCGAAAACCTCAACGGTGGCGTCTGCGGCCGTCCAGCCCAAAACCCAATTGGCGGTGCGAGACGTGGGCAGGGCGTTACTGCAGCAACAATAATCGCCCGTGTGCGACTCGCATCCTCGAGAGTTAACTCGACAAAAGCTCTCTTTAAAATCGTATCGCACAAAGGTAATCGGTTAGGTCTCACCGGTGGGGGGGTGGGGTCTGTTCAACACAAATCAGATTACGAGCCAAAACCACGGACGCCCTCGTGCGAACGCATCGCTCAGCATTCCCATCCGATTTGTAACAGCAGCTCGCAGGCCTACGTTCGACGGGGACAGCGTGAACCCGGAGGTAGAGTCTTGCGGAGGACAGGAGCAGGAAAGTGGAAATTCTTCGCTGTCCCTCAGGCCACCGGCAAGGCAACCCTCGCCGAATTGGCTATAGCGACCCGAGGCCCGGTCCTGCGGCCCAGTCCATTCTCCTCCGTTTGTTCCACGAGTCTTGATTGTGCCTCCCATCGCGATAGCCGTTCGTGCAGAAAATGGCCCTTTCTCTGCCAACCGATTTCATTCTTGCCTTCATATGCTTTCCATTTTTATTCTTTAAGTCAGCGGCGTGGGATTTTAATAATATTTTTTATACAGCTTGGAATTTTTTTATCAGTTTTTTTTTCTTTCAAAATGTACTTTCGAGGAGGTTGTGAGGTTTCGGGGTGAGGGGGGGCGAGTGGAATGTCCGCGTCGTTTTTTCGGCGTTAACGGTTAAGCGTGCGTTCGCTTCGCTCGCACTTGGCACGCGACCGCTCGCGTGCATTTCGAGCCCTGGGTCCGTTACACAGCTGCCACCGTCTGCCCCAACGAGCAGACGTCTCTCGTAAAAAAAACGAATAACTAAAAAAAATGATAATAAATTAAAATCACATTCTTGTGTTCCTACGATCCAGCCACGTGCAGTCTTCACCGTCTGTGACACGCGCGCGCACACGCACACACACGGAGCCACGGTGAGTCAAGGTGTTTACACAAGAGCAGTAACGCCGTAGACGCAAGAGGCACTTTATAGACAACAAAATACGCGATGGTGAACTACTACAAACTATTTTGTATTTTACCAGCTAAGGCCCACTGAGCTATGTAGCTCTTTTGCAGGAGCGACCAGGCCACAGATGATAGGTCAGTGAAGTGGCTTATCACAATAAATCATGTGGAGATTTATTGTAGCCAAACACTCTAAACGCATGATTCTAAATGTGGAGGGAAAAACCAGAGGACCCGGACAAAAATCCACACGACCACGGGAGAACACGCAATCTCCAAATAGACAGCAGGTATCAGGGTCGGGATCCAACCCAAGACCTCCGGTATATACCAGGCGAGGTCGTTAAGATCTCACCACCATGTATTTTTGTATACATATTTAGCTTATTTTGCACCGTACGTATCCAACCGTGCTGATCGGAGGTGCGGGGAAGGGCAACAAACGAAACATAAAAAGCAGTTCTAAAGAAATGAGTTTTCAATCTAGAAGATCGATTCTCCCATCATGCCTTGCACGTCGCGTGATATTTTTCTGTCCGATGAGTTTTCTCGTCGATTAACAGACAGTGCAAGAATTGGGTTTTAAGGAGGCTACCCCTGCTTTAGTGAGCATTGGTTGGGTGGCATCCCGAGTAATGCGCGTATATTCCACATTCCTCCACTGCGATTCAGCCGCAGAACAACCACCGTGTGCGTCTCGGAAAGTCGCAATCGGCGACGACGTCGTATGCAGGAATAACAACATCCCACAGTCGGGGGGAGTTCCCTTTTCGATATCCAGTCGAGGACTTCGGGACGTGCGGAGCAAAATTTCCGAGATGTTGAACTCAATATCAGTGCCCACTGCCGAGGTTTTGCCCGGTAACTACTCCAGGATTGACACCTCGTGATCGTCCCTCATAATGCGGAGCCTCCACATTCTAGGCCATGTGACAGAAGCCCTCCAAGCCCTGGTCACTGCTCACAAGTCAAAATGTCTCCACTCTCTTTGGAGCAGTGGTGGTCCCGAGCCAGTTTTTGTTGTTGTTGTTGTGTTTAGTTTGTTGTCCTCCCCCCTCCGCACCTCCGGTTTACACGGTTGGCTACGTACGGTGCAAAAATAAGTTCAACATGCATAGAGACGCATACGTATGCGGAAAATTCCACATTCCTGCGGCGGTGGCCAGTAGCTTTGTCTCTCCACGGGACAGACCACGGAACGGGTCAGACATCTCAGGGATGCACAATCTAGGGACGTTATCTCCGAGAGCCCGGTGTGTTTTAGACTGCGACTCCCCCACAAGACGATCTCCCTACTGGCGAGCACGGGGCTCAGTGTGTGCACGGTGATGGCTGCTCGTGCCGCTGCTCTCACCTGTGGCGCAGTGTGCGGGACGACTCGAGGAGGAAGGAGCTCGCCTGCTCGAGGTTCGAGTCGAAGCGCTCGAGCAGGCGCTGGCATTCTCCACGGCTCGCCAGCCCCAGGCTCAACAGCTGCTCTATCTGGCGCACACAGCGGGCAGCGGGAGGGGGGGCGGTGGGGGGTGGGGGGGCCATGGCGATGGCAGATTAGACAACAACAACAACGATGACGACATTACGAGCAAAAAAATTACGAAACTATTTTTACATCACATTAGGCCCACTGAGCTGCGTAGCTTGATTCCTTGCAAAAAAGTATCTATTTGGCGTTTGAACATCTTAACACCTCCTGTTTTAGTTCCAGAAAGGTTAACGCATATTGTTACTTTTTCAAACTTTGACACTGGAAAATAAAAAAAAAAGGTCCCATAAATGAATGTAGAGCTCGCGGCGTCAAGACGCTTCTCAGCCGTGTCCTTGATGACAAATGTTTTTCTTGTATTTTCAACAACAACAACAACCCAGAGCCACCCGTGTGTCGTAATCGCCCGTGGGGTGGGGGGGGGCGGAACGTGGAAGGCCTCTCACCTTGAGGTAGTGAATGGCCTGCGGGACATCCCAGGCGTGGCCGTGCAAGGCGGCGTGGCATTCCTCCGTCGTCACCCCGTGTACGCACTCCAGCACCTTCAGCGGACACGGGGCGGGGGGGCGGGGGGCGGATTCATTGGCGGACAGGCTCTGCTGGACACTTAACTCAAGCCATGCCCCGCTGGCAGTGGCTCTGGTGAGCGATTGTCAACTCCCTAATGAAGGAACCAGTAAAGCGATGCCACCTTGTGCGGGGCCGACAAGTGAAACATCTGGGCCGCGCTAATGGGACGTGGCGGGAAGGGCGCGCGTCAAACATCCCCCGTGTAGCCTTAACGGACTGCCGGGGCAAGTTGCTGTTAGTGAGCATCTATGAAGGCTGGCACGGCACACGAGGGGGTGGGTGGCCAGCACCACCGCCCAGTGGCGATGTTTTTACACGTAGCAACCAGGTACTCATTTGAAGTCGAGACGACCTAGGGGAGACCCCCGGGACCGGTTCAGATAATCGTCACCGGTGTTGGCCCTGACCGGCAATCGAACTAGAGTCGCCGGGTTCGTAGCGCAGAGCGCTAACCGCTGCACTACCGCTTGCACACACACGCGCGTGCTCTGTGCAGCGTTCTCATCTGTGCGTGCGCACACCAAACCAAGCCACTGCCTTTCTGAGCGCGAGCAAAGCTCGTTCACAATAACGAGGTTATCTCTCCAGGGTTGGGGAGAAATAATTTTTCCTTATAATTACGTAATGGATTACGGTTAACCGAAGAGAGAAAAATAAAAATTCTCGGACTGTGCGTGTCAGTCACAGATCTTGGCGTGCCAAGGCCAGAGGAGTTTTTTTTTCTTCCACATTTTACGTCGAGGCAAGATACAAGGGTGTTGTGCAACAGGAGGATGGGTTATTTTGTAAAACCAGTTTGTTTTTTGCCTCTTCGTCAAAGGTACGTTCGGGGTACACCGTGTATCCTTCAGTCGCAGCGAAAAGCGCCGGAGGCACACACCGAGGTTCAACAAAGCAAAGGCCACTTTTGCTCGACGGGTTAATGAGGCCTCCGACCGGAAATGCCAGCAACAGCTGAATCACGGTGGCAACATTCAAAACACATTTCACAAGGGCCACTTCCCCACAAACACTCCACAGACACCCAAAAGCGCCTAGCTTGTGGATAATTGTAATTACGTCTTAAAGTGCCATTAAAATGCTTTCGGTTTACAGCAGGATACAATAGCTCCTTGCATTACGTCAACCCCTTGTCTCTCTGCTACCTTCCATTGGCCGCTTTTAGAAGTTCCTCGCGCATCGATTCCAACTCGGGACTCTTAAAGCACGCCGAGCCGAATGCCTCACCCGCACCGCACGCAGCCGCCCTCGATACAGGATGGGACATTTAATCCTCTTTGCCGGACTCAGCTGTGCTCCATGGAGGACTCGGCTCACAATCGGTAGGGTGCGAGGATCGAATCCCACTCGCTAGTTCACTTAGCCAATCGTCTTACAAAAAATAGATGACTGTGGTTGTCAAATTAACTAAATTATTTTTTATTTTACGAGGCAAGGCCAAACCGAGCTATATAGCTCTTTTTCAGAAGCAACCTGGCCACAAATGACAGCTCAAAGAAGTGCCTTATCGCATGGACATTCATAGCAGCCAAATTACTCTAAACGCGTGATGTTGATTCTAAATGTGGAGGGAAAAACCGGAGGACCCAGAGAAATATACACACGACCACGGGGAGAACATGCAAACTCTAAATATACAACAGACGTCAGGGTCGAGATCGACCCCACGACCTACTGCATACCAGGCGAGGTAGTTCAATTCTCGCCACCATGACGCCCACCAAATGCACAGGCTGGCACCCGCAATGGGAATTTGAAATTTCCACCAATAGTTCGGGGCCATCAATGGAGAGCAGCGTCATCTCCACGCTTGTCAGCAGGCAGAAGCTTGCCAACTCTAGCTCTTCTTTGTTGCTAGCGTTACCGGCCTTAGTAAAATGTTATTAAAGTCAAAGCAGCTGTTCAAGAAAGCTTTGGGGTGGTACTCAGCTCACGTGATTATTATTTTAGTGTCCTATGGAAAAACTCTGCCCTGCCATGGGAATATGGAATTTTGACCAATGGCTCAGGGCTGTAAACGTGAGAGGAGCACCGCCTCAATGCTCGTTTGAGCAGGAGGTCACTTCAACGTTAGGCGACTATTATTATATTACTCGTGCCAAAGGGGAAACTTTCTCGGGAGAATGCCCACCATGAAGATAGATCAATGCAATCAGCTGGTTCGCAGGTGCAAGGTAGATTGTCACATTGCATTGCAGGACCACGACGGACCGCGACGGGAGGAGTCCACCCAGCAGTAGATTGATCATGGCTGAAGATACCTGGGGGGGGGGGGGGGGGGCGCCGGCCAGACGCTCACCTGTCTGATCTGCTCCTGTGCGCTCAGGGAGTCGAGTCGGGAAAACTCCTCACAGACGCCCTCCGGGGTCCTCGCGGGCTCAGAGGTCGGGGGCTGTGACCTCTCGTTGGGGTCACTCTCTCGCAGGAAGCGCTCGTACCTGCGAATTGGGGACGTGAAGGCCGCGGTTAACGCCAACACGCGCCAACACGCGCCCGTTTCACTACATAACAAGCAACAGTGCACTAGTCCTGTTGGATCCCGGAAGCCGAGCTCGAATCGAGTCTGGACAGCGCGCGGATGGGCCACTGCCAGGGCTACGTGGTGCTTAGCAGAGGACGGCGCGGCACAGCACAGGTCCGTTGTTGTGCCGCATTTCTACGCTACGGGACATCTACGCTGTCCCACCTTCGCCAACCCGGCGCTGACCAACGTGGCGAAGCCAGTAAAGTCAGAGAAGCAGCCATGACCCGTGCCAAGTGGGGGAGGCCCTCGTCCAGCTGTGGACCAACATGTGCCGTGTTACGAGGGGTAAGCACGAGCGCACAGTAGCTGCGTGTACACTGCTCAACACCACGTGACGCAGCGGTGTGCCGTTATCTGGCAACGCCGCCGTGCACAGAAGTGCGCGATGCAAAAGCTACTTGAACACCGATTACTGACGGAAGAATGGAGTCGGGCAGTAACAGGAACCGTCAATTGGCCGAGGCACCCCGAGGATAACCTTCACATGGATACACTTCCCACCGGGGGTCAACACCTGCCGCTTAGCTTCTGCGAGATCCGACGCGTCGATGGCGAGGATTCGAGCGAAAGCGGCAGACTCGGCAAGAGCAACCGCGACCGTTCACCTCTCCGCTCACCTGTCCAGGTAGGCCGGCTTCTCCGGGAGGAGGTAGTAGTGGGTGCTGCTCTGCTTCTTGCCGTCCTTGATGATTGGGAGGATGCACGGGCCCCGCGCCGGCTGCCCGGAGCAGCAGCCCTTCTCCTTGCCCAGCGTCGAGAACTTGGGATCCGAGCCGAAGCTCTGCGTGGGCGGCATCGCCCGCTGCGGCGACGACGACAGAGCCGCCTGCTGCTGCTGCTGGCACGGCGGGGGAGGCCCCGGTATGGGCTGCGGCGACGACGAGGAGGGACAGCCGAAGCCCTTGGGGCTGGGCGTTCGCGACGCGCTCGGCGACAGCGGCTCCCGGGGCGGCACCCGCGGCGGGGCCTCGCTGTCCGGGCCCAGCGAGGGCGAGTGCCGCAGGGGGAGCCTCGGCGGCCGCTCCGTCGACGCCGCCGTCTCGTCCGCCGCCGCTTCGCAGCCGACGGCCCAGAAGCCGGCGCCGCTCTCGCTGGCGCCGCGCGGCGGCACGCGGGGCGGTCGCGAGGGGCTGCCCGCCCCCTCCCGCGGGAGCGGGGAGTCTCGCACGGGCAGCTTGGGGGGCGGCCGCTCCGCCGCCGCCGCCGCCGCCGCCGCCCCGTCGCCGGAGCCCAACGACAGCGACTCGCGCAGCGGCGCCTTGGCGGGGCTCTCGCCGCCGCCGCCGCCGCCGTCCCAGGACGCGCTGCTCTCGGGCGCCACCGCGACCGGCGGCCGGCGCTGCCGCTCGGCGCCGTCCCCGCCCCACGACAGGGACTCGCGCAGCGGCGCCTTGGCCGCCGCCAGGCAGTCCTTGCCCCACATGTAGTAGGAGACCTCGGCCGACCAGCGGTAGCCGTTGCGCTTGGCGGGGAGCGGGGGGATGGGCGCGCGGGGCGGCACCTCGGGCCTCTCCTCGGCCGCGCCGCCGGCGCCGCCGGGGGACGGCGTCGTCGCCGTCGAGCCGGCGCCGGGCTCGGAGTCGCACGAGGCCGGGGCCGAGGCGCGGGCGGCGCGGCACGGGGGCTCGCGGGCGCGCAGGCTCGCGCGGTGCAGCTCCCGCAGCGCCGCCACGCTCTCGCGCTCGTACGCCCGGTTCGCGGCTCCGCCGGCGCCGCAGACGCCGGCGGCGGTCCTCGGCGCGGCCCCGGTGGCGGACGCGTAGAAGTTGGAGAGCAGGTCGAGCGTCGAGTCGCAGCCGCCCTCGAAGAACACCGAGTCCGAGTCGAGCGAACGCTCCGCGGCGTCGTCCGCGTCCCCCCCGACGCCGTCGCCCTCGAGGTCAACGCAGCCGCCGCCGTGTCCGTGGGGCGGCACCGCCGGCAGCCGGGACTCCCAGTCCACGGCTCTCGAAGACGGCGACGACGACGCCGCCGCGCACGGCGGGATGTCGTAGTGCGACCGCCCTCCCGTCGCGCCGCCGCCTCCGAACGCGATCGCTCCGCCGCCGTTGCCATTGCCGACGGCCGCCGCGGGCCGGGGCGCCGGGCACAGCGGGCGCGGCGCGGCGCGGCAGGGGCTGTGCGGCGCGGGGGACGGGAAGTTGTCGAGCCGCCCCCCCTCGGCGCAGGGCGGTGCCGCCGGGAGGGAGAGGAGGCCGCCGGCGGCGTGCGCGTCCGCGGGCCGCCCCACCATGCCGCCGCCAGCGAGATCACGCGTCGGGGGCGGGGGCGGCCGGCACGCCTTGCTGCCGGTGCTCTTCAGCTGGCAGTATTTGCGGAAGGGAACCTTCCGGTGGCACACATTTTCCTCCTCGTCCGCGTCGACCGGCGACGATTCATATGTGGGCTCTAGTGGGGGGGCGGGGGGGGGAAGGAGCAGCAGCGGCTCAGGGTCAGTCGACAGTTGAGGGACTTCAATGACGAAGGTCCAACCCACGGCGCATTCCGACCAACGTGAATAAGCATGGCAATCGTCGAGACGGAGCTAACGTGTCCATCCGCTTACATGGATGCTTATATCGCGAGTTATATTACTTTACCCACTTGCTCCAATTACATCAACACCTTTCGTCTGTTTTGAACGAACTTTCAGATACATGTATGGGTTGGTTGTTGTCAGCCCTTTAAAACCATTATCTATTGACATTGATACATTTTAGCAATAGGCCAGTATTGATATCTCCCTGTGGCCATGCCAGAGTGCTTGAAATGCTATATTCCTATAATGGGGCCGAATATCTGCAGATAACATGCACTCCGAACTTTTCGCAGACCAGAACTTCCACATGTACAGGTAATCGTCCAACGAGGAACGGTGGTCTGAGCCGACGCCTGATGGAAGCGTGAATTATCAGCCATACGACAGCAAACCCGTGCCAAAGGACTTAAAGGTGGGCTTCCACCGCTCCCTACGCACAACCACGGACGCACAAATGCTCACTTGCACAATACAGATAGCCAATGTCCAGGCAAAGCCCGCTGCATTAATAAAAGCATGAGAAATCTTCCGGCATCGCTCCCCCCTCCAACTCCACGCACTCATGTCACACGTGAAAAGCCTCTCTCTCTCTCTCCGTTGTTGTTTCATCCCGTTTTAGGAAGACCTCGGCTCCCTACACGGTTCACCGTGCCGTCCGGTTCACTGGATTGGTTTAGACGAACGCTCCAGGGTCCCCAGGTGAGTGAGTGAGTGTGCCGTGGTAGTGGAGAGAGGGGAAGGTAGGGTCCAAGGTTCGGAACTAAAAACTCAACCAACAGCAGCTCCACGGCAGCATTGCCGAATGTCTCTCGGACATCGGCCGGTCTCGCAACGTTTTTCCCTTTGCCTCTGTGCCCTTTCATTTATTTCCAAACGTTTCCTTTTCTTAATTTGAGGCGACTAAACGCGAGAGACCTGCTATCGGCGTGCAACGTTTGCGAAGCGTTGCGATTTGTTTTACTTTTGGCCGCCAGAACTTTGGAACTTGGACTTTGCTCCGCTTCGGCGATGCGGCGAGCGAGGTCGTAACTGCTGAAAAGTCGCGGCGGTTTAGTGCGCATTTTCCTTTGCGAGGCAAAAGAAAATGTGTACAAGGAGATTATACCCCAAATGCCCGAACGGCACCACCTCTGTCGTACCGCGCGCACGCACGCACGCACACACACACACGCCGTTTCGAGCGCGCCTCTCACTTGAGGTTGCGGCTGCGGGTGGTGACGTCTCTTTTAGCCTCGGCCCGTCCGTGTGTGCGGCGGCGGCGGCGTTGCTGGGCGAGGAGCTGCGAGAGAAAGAGAATCGTAATTGAGGCATAAGCCTGGGCTCATGACGACGGCTCCGATACATTATTGGGCCCCTGCCAAGTGTTCGCAAAAATGAAAGCACACCGACAATGCTGTCATTAGCACCATTACGGCTGAGGCCGCGCCCCAGCCACTGACCCAATTCCGCGGTTTGATTCCCGCTATGCAGGGTTGTAGGGGGTTAGAAACAACAAGGCGGCCGAGCAGTGCGGCTTGCAAGAGTCCTTCCCGCTACTCTCATACTTTGGTACATGTTCATAAACAATATTTACGCTCATGCCGAGAAAAACCCAAGTAGGAAATTATATTTTTTATGGTTCAAACATTTATTTGTATATACTTTCACGAATCTAAAGCCTACAAAAAGCCGGCGATGGCTGCTATGCAGTCGCTTAGTGCCGCATATAAATTATTGCGAGGAGCAAACGCCCCTCCGTCCCAACTCACGTTTGTCACTGCGTGCCTTTTAAAGGCGCTGACAACGACGCAGGTGTTCCAAAGAGGAGGCGTGGTGTGAGGGGGGGTGAATGCTTCAGACCTTCCCCTGCACCCACAATGCGGGCGTGTTGTGATATTGCATCGCGAGTAGAGATCTAGGTGGAGAATAATGCTCCCGTTTCAGCCGGTGCCCCTTATTAAAACCCGCTGACGGATAAAACCGCTGAGTGGCGAGCGCTAACAGCCCACCCCCCAAACACGTGCATCTGCCACAATTTTTGCTGTGCCCTTCGAGCACTTTCATGGCCCAGCGCACGCGAGTGGAAAAGGCGTCGAGATACATTCATTATGAACACTTTGTAATCTGGACAGGTGGCACCGAAGGCAGCGGGGATTCGACTCGACATCGAAAGGTCACTGGCTTCACTGTCCTGGCTGGGGACGGACTCAGCCAGGCATTCCGCCCGGTCGCATAAAATGAGAAATTGCTTTGTGGGTAGCCGACCGTGGTTGTCTGACGGGAGACAAAAATGCCCCCCCCGCCCCCCCTGCCGCCGCCGAAATTTTATAAATGCGTAAATGAGACTAACAGAGAGGTACGATGCACCGTGCTCGCTTGAGCAGGGAGAGGCAGCGACTTGGACTCGGCGGTGCACAAACTGAGACGGGTGGAGTCCCCACCACAACCTAGTTCACCCCTTCTCCCGGCGGGGGGCGAGCGAAGTGACATAGCGCGAGGGTTTGACGAGAGGCCAGGGCGGGCCCCGACTTACTGCTCCGGCTGCCGCCGCCAGGGCAGCTGGGCCTCGCGGCCGGGGCTGTTCGTGGGCGCCGGCGTCGCCTGCGGCGGAGACGCGGCCCCGCGCGGGGGGAACTGAGCGACGTGCAGCGCCCGCCGGCCCGGACAGTGCCACCAGCAGCTGCTCTCCACGCTGCAGTGGGGGGGTTGGGAGGGCAGGGGGGGGATGAGTGCGATGCGGGGGGGGGGGGGGGAGACGAGGGAGCAAAGGGGGGGGGGGGGACACAATGAGTTACTAAAGTGCCCTGTCTGCTATTAGGTCAGCGCCCGCTTGAATACGGATAGCGCGACCAGCGGCTGCTGCACTACATGGGGGGGAGGGGACGACCACAGGGGGCGACGGGGGATCGAGTTTGATGCGGGGGGGGGGGGGGGGGGAAGACGAGACGGCAAAAAGGGGGGGGGGGACACGATACGTTACTAAGATGCTTCGTTCTACGCTGAAGTGGACAATGAAGACCCTGTCACATGTTCAGACGTAGGCAATCGTGCCAAAAGCCCTCGCCCGAAATCTATAATTGAGGGCTCGCATCCGACCAAAGTGTATACCTGTCAACCCCTTATTAGTGCCTATCTTATTACAGACCAATTCAGACCTTATTGGTCACCCAGTGCCACTTATAAATCTCAGCGTTCATCCTGCAAAGTCCCATCAAAAGGGAAAAACACAAAAAATTTACAAAATAAATATTGTTGTTGCCCGTATTAAAACGGCTGTACGCCGTACGGACCTGAAAACTCAATTTCCCCGGACAAGAATACGGGTAAACCGCATGGGTTGACAGGAATGATCGTGTACAAGTGTTAAACTAGTTAAAAGGACAACGGAATGGGATTACTTTTGTGGCGTCGCAATATTCAATCGTGAGAAATGCTAAGGCTTTTAAAGCACGGCTCATCCTGTTGTAAAACGCAGAGTATGTCAGCCAGCACCACGCCTGGCCACCATCCTCTCTCCTATTGTTGCTGTGCGTTTACACGCAACGCAGTGGACACTCATTTTGGGCTGAGTCGACTTAAGGGAGGGGGTGGTGGTGGGGGGCGCCCAGGCCTGGGTTTACAAGAAGACAAATACCAAGGACACGGCGATTACGCAACTCCGCCAGCAGGGGCCAGCATTGCACATCGACGTCGCTGTGGGGCTGAACCTGCACAACCCGGACCAGAGAGCAATGTTCCCCCGTGCAATGACGAGTACAGCGGCACACGAGCCAACCATTTTTCGTTCCTCGCTTAACTCGTTTATTTTTCAATAGCGTATCCCTCTACTCCTCATCCTCAAACCCTTCACCACCTCGCCAGCCCTACTCCCTTTCCCCATCACCAACTCAAACCTTTCCCCCATCAGCCAATAAACTAATGTACCATTGATAATTCTTTAAACGTGCATTGACAAAAGCCCTATATATAAAACATCCTAGATAAGATGCGATAAGCTGCCTCTGGCTGACCAACAATGCAATTATGTAATTAATGTATTGTGATGGCCAGCAAGCCTTGTATGGTCTTTGACTTGCTGCCCTGTTTCTTTTTAATATCACGCACCCAGAGACTCAAATCACGTCACGCACGTAGCGTACCACCACCACCACCAGCCCCTCCTCCTCCGTGAGTAAAGAAAAAGTATTGGGCAACATATTCCGTCACCACTGAGTCTGGCTGCATCATGTCATACGCAAACACACCACAATCCCTTAACACAATGTTAGGTTAGTGCGCATTCTTGACACACATACACACGCACATAGTGACAAAGATACCCTCCCCCCTCCGTCTAGCCTCATAGACTACTCTCCACGGGCCGATACGACAATGATTCACCGGGGGATTCACTTAAGGCCAAGGGATGCCCAAGACAGATTCCGACAGTCGTGCGTCACCGGCCAGGCATTGAAACTCCAATCTCATTTGATTGTAATGCGATGTGCAAAGTCATTGTGCCCGATCGCCTGATATAAACATGGCACACCTTCTCCTCCTCATTTCAACTTGCACGATTTGTAAAGTCAAGAACCGGCCTTCAACTGAGAGGGGGGCCCCCAGTGTAGGTGCTTTAGGCAAGTGTCTCGTAACGTGGCTGGAAAAAAATAATATTTTACTATCCGGGCCAGGTGTCCCACCGCCTAGAGACCTTGACTCGCAAATCAGAAGGTTGCAAGTTCAAATCCTGGCCAAGGGGTCAATTTAGCCTTCCAATCATCATCACTGTCGGGGTCAATACAATTGGTGCTGGTTCGTGGGATGTTAAAAGGAGTTGTTATATGGAGAGACTGGCCCTTAGCAGAACAAGATGGAATTTCCACCCAATGGTTGAAGGCAACCAAATAGTAAGAAAATTACTTTGTTTTTTAACAGGTAAGGCCCCACCGAGCTACATAGCTCTTTTTCAGAAGCGACCTGGCCACAAATAATAGCTCAACGAAATGGCTTATCATCACGTGGACATTTATAGCAGCCAAATTCTGTAAATCAATGTTGATTCTAAAATGCGGTGGGAAAAAAACCACACGACCACTGGGGAGAGAGAACGAGAGAGACACGCAAACTCCCAAATATACAGCAGGCGTCAGGGTCGGGATAGAACCCACGGCCCTCTTCCATACCAGGCGAGGTAGTTAACGTCTCACCACCGCGGTTGCTGCACCACTGCTTGCTTGCACAGAGGCCTGGGGGACCGAGCCGTGAAGCCGACGGTCAGGGTAGTCGTTCTCCGAGCCGGAGCTCATTGCACACAGCTGCTTCAAAACCATTCTCACCGCGGCCCGTGGGCCACAAAAAAAGTCCGCACACGCGGTGGTGCGGTTGTCCCAAAAAGCTTACAAATGTGGTGATTGTGAAGAAAGAACCTCCCCCGTTGTAAATGTCAAAACGTACATTAAGAGCCAACCCTCGTCTTAAACTCACAAGGGTTGTTGAATGATGTAAATGAGACAAATCGGCGCCCTTGTGCAAACAATATCCACATCTGTTCTCATTTGTTAAGACTGGTGCAGATGCTGGGGTGTGGTGTCTGTGGTGCACTCCAGGAACTCAGAGGTGGAAGTGGGGGCGGGGAGTGTCGCTGGACGGGCATCACTGGAATTACGACTATGACCGAGTGAGCCACTAAAAATGCTCCGCGATCCCTAGGCACTGCAATTCCGGGTCAATTTTAACGATTCGCCCCATCCCTCTTCACGAACTTGGGAGTTTCAACTACGGCTGCCTTCCTGCTCATCCCCCGGCTGCGACGCGAGTCGAGGTGTCGCCCTGCTCAAAGAGAGACTGCAGCAGCGACGTACTCCCTTAGAGGCAGCTCTCGCTCGGGCCAGTCACGGAAATTCCACATTCTCTTGGCAAGGGCTAATAGTATCCTCTCTGTCTCTCTCTCTCTCTACGAGTTGACCGCTCATTTTAACCAACCCTGGAGGAACGGCAATGAGGCGAGTCAGCCCGTCCACCCGGCACTAGCCGAGTGGACCCCTTTGGATGGGTGTCGGTGGAGTAAACCGAGCGACACCCGGCCGGATCGTCTCCTCCCTTCCTCGCGCTCTCCCCAACTCGCGGCGCGTCGTCTCTCTGTTGTCAGAGACACGAAATCCCACGGTGGAGGAGGAGGGAGTGTGGATGAAACCTGAGCGGGCGGTGGGACCGGCGTGTGGGTGTGGGGGCAGGGCGGGATGGGTGGGGGGGGTGAAGCTCATGCATTCCAGCTGTGTACCCATCCGGCACCGCAACATGCCTTCATAATCCACACGCCCCAGCACCCCGCAACCCTCTCCCCACCCGCAAACGCCACCGCCAACAGGTCTGACTCCTTTTTTTCTTTTTGTTTAATGGACCATTGTTTTGTGTGCGTGCGTGTGTGTGCGTGTGTGTGCGCCTGTGTGTGTGCGTGCGTTTGCGTGAGTGTGCGTGTTTGCCTGTGCATGTGTGCCTGTGTGTGTGTGCCTGTGTGTGCGTGCCTGCGTGTGCGTGCCTGCGTGTGCGTGCCTGCGTGTGCGTGTGTGCCTGTGTATGTGTACCGGCGTGAGTGTGCGTGAGTGTGCGTGAGTGTGCGTGAGTGTGCGTGCATGCGTGAGTGTACGTGGGTGCGCGAGAGTGCGCGAGAGTGCGCGAGTGTGCGCGCGAGTGAGTGTGCGTGCGCGTGAGTGAAAGCGAGTGCGTGAGTGCGAGTGAGTGTGTGAGTGTGAGAGTGCGAGTGAGTGAGTGTGTGAGTGAGTGTGTGAGTGCGCGTGTGTGTGCGCGCTGGGTGCAGATGGGACGGAAGACAAGTGTCGCAGCGGCAGAAGCTGCTCGCCGCCTGGGGGGGGGTTCGATACCAGACTAAAAACGACGTTTTATTTGACCAGGTAAGGCCCACCGAGTTATTATATAGAGCTCCTCTTCAGAAGCGACCTGGCCACAAAACGATAGCGCCCAAAACCTCCGATTAGCAAGGTTGGCTACGTACGGTGCGAAAGAAGTTCAACGTACATGCAGCTCAACGAAAGTGGCTCACAACGTGGAAATTTATAGCAGCCACATGCTCTAAACTCACGTCGATTCTAATTGTGGAGGGGGGGAGGGGGAATCGGAGGACCACATGACAAATGGGAGACACGCAAACTCGCAAACTCTGAATATACAGCAGGCGTCAGGGGTTGGGATCGAACCCACGACCGCCTGCGTACCGGGCTAGGGAGTTAACATCTCACAGCCAGCGCGGCGCCCCGATAGCCGACTCCGCTGCGGCGGTCGATTTACCCGGTGAGCTAATGCACGCCGTTTAATCTTGGATGGGTGGTGGTGGTGGTGTTGCGATTTGAACGTTCCCCTCGCAATCTGAAGGTTGCGCCTTCAAATCCCCGGTCAGGGGTCAACCCCGAGCAATAATGTGGGGTCGATAGAAACAAGTACCACTTTGTGAGACGTCGATAAGTGGTTGGCTGCCCTGTGGAGAGACTGGCACCTGCCATGGGAATGTGGAATTTACACCACTGCCTCCTCGCAGCCACCCAATGGAGATGAGGAGCGCTGCCCTCCATACGACTGCACGCGTGAGAAAGGAGACGCTGGGATATCGTTAATCAAAAGTGCGCCGTCTGCGTTAAAGTGAACTTGATGAAGAAAGACGCTGCCAACGTGTTGTAATGATTCTCAAGAGTTCACCAT